CACCGATATAATTAACTTCAGTTAAGCCATACTTTATTCAGATTTTCTTAGTGGTTGTTTGTTTGTTTGTTTGTTTTTTAACCTAATGTACTTTCTCTGTTTCAGGATTCCATCCAGGACACCACATTACATTTAGCTGCCATGTCTCCTTAAGCAAATCATGGCTGTGACAGTTTCTCAGACTTACCTTGTGTTTAGTGACCTTGACAGTTTTGAGGAATATTGGTCAGGTATTTTGTAGAATGTACCTCTGTTGGGATTTGTCTGATGTTTTCCTCATGATTAGACCAGGGCTATGGGTTTTGGAGGAAGACCACAAAGGCACAGTGCCATTTCCATCACACCATATGAAGGGAGCATATTATCAACATGGCTTCACTGTTGACGTTAGCCTTGATCCAGACTATATTTGTCAGAACTCTCCACCCTCAAGCGTCTTTTCTTCTCCCCTTCTGTACTGTACTCTTTAGAAGGAAGTCACTGTACACAGGGCACACTTATGTCCCACCTCCTGGAGAGTCAAGTATCTATATAAATTACTTAGAACTGTCCTGCACAGTTTATTTGTCTATTTCCCTCCATTTGCTTATTTATTCAATAATTTTTCTGTATCACTATGGACTTGTAGGTATTTACTTGATATATTGCATTATAATCCAATACTACTTTACTTTATTTCTCAAATTGCTTCAGTTTGGGCCATTTGGATCCCTTTCAGTTGGCTCCTATGTCCCTTTGTCATATCCCATCATTGTGGAGTTTTTTGGGTTTTATTTTTTTGTTTTGTTTGAACACTTCCTCACTTTCTGCCACTACAAGACACTCCAGGCTCATCTTGTGTATGTCCTTCCCCATTTTCAGAATCAGCCATTTCACCAAGGAATGTTGGTTTATTTTGTTGAAGAGTGGTAAGAACCCAGAACTGAGTGCTAAATATGCTCGTTGCTACTGGGGTAGCATTGTTTCTAGTCATTCTCAGCTGATGGAGAAGGGAAAAATGTGTATATTAACCAGTATATATACAGGTCCATAAATATATGACATAATTAATATATAAATTAATGTGTTTATGTATTAGATATTAATATACATACACATATATATCCACTTCTATTTATGTTAAACTAAACGTGAGTTTAAACTGATGTCTCTACTCCATTACCTACCATATGTGTTATTTTTGCCTCTGCCCCTTGCTCATTTGTAACCTCCCACTCCAATAGTGAGAAACCAGGCTCCCACTATCAGCCATTCATTTGCTTAACTGTTCAATTTCAGTATGCATGTTATAGTTGTTTCAGAATTGTCAACTCATACCACCAAAACAATTTTTTCAAGTACAGTACACTGCTTATGTACAGTTCCATTTGTCTTTAGTCTTACAGATTCTACTCATTTCCAAAGTTATTTAGTTCAGATTTCCCCCCACTTCCTTCAGTTTCTTTTATATATTCTTTTGTCACAGCCTGCACTGTCACAATTAGCACAGTTAAGTGCTACCTAAAGAATTTTTTTTATTAATTTACATGGCATAAGATTCACTCCTCTGCTGTAAAGTTCCATGGGTTTTGAAAAATACCTAGTGTCATACATTACAGAATTATACAAAAGTTTCACTGCCCTAGTCCCAGTGCTTAATCTTCTCAAAGTGCACACACCACAAAACCCCTATAACTACTAATCTGTTTTACACGTTTGCCTTTTCCAGAGTGTCATATAAATGGAATGATACAGTATGTAGCCTTTTCAGACTGGCTTCTTTAGCCTAGCAACGTGCATTTAAGAATCATCCATATCTTTGCATGGCACGATAGCTCAAACCTTCTTATTGCTAATAGTATTCCATTGTATGGATGTATACAGTTTGTTTATTAATTCACCTACTGAAGAACATTCCGGTTGCTGCTGGGTTTTGGCAGTTATAAGCAAAGCTGCTATAAACATTCAAGTGCAGGTTTTTGTGTGGACGTACATTTTTAAATCTGTTGGGAAAGAACCTGGGGTGATTACTGGATTGTATGATAAGACTATGTTTAGCTTTATAAAAAATGTCAAACTATCTTCTAAAGTGCCTGTACCAATTTGCATTCCCACCAGTAATGAATGAGAGTTCCTGTTGCTCCAAATCCTTGCCAGCAATTGGTATTGTCAATTTTGTCAAATTTTTTTTTTATTTTAGTCTTTCTAATAGTTTTGTAGTGGTATCTCATTGAAGTTTCACTTTGCATTTCCCAGTGACAAATGATATTGAGCTTTTCATATGCTTATTTGCCATCTGTATACCTTCTTTGAAGAGGTATCTTGTTCAGATCTTTGGCTCATTTTTAATTGAACTGTTAGGTTTTCTTATTTTTGAGTTTCAAGTTTCCTTTGTATATTTTGTATACAAGTCCTTTAACAGGAATGTGTTTTGCAAATGTTTTCTCCCAGTTTGTGACCTGTCTTTTAATTTTGTTTACAGTATCTCATCTATAAGACTAAAATCAAATAGATTTGCTTCTGTATTTTCTTCTAGAATTTTTATATGCATTTTACATGTATGTGTATGATATGTTTTTTATTTCTGTGTAAGGTGTAATGTTTATTTCTAGGTCCATTTTTGTTTGTTTATTTTTTGTGGGGTTTTCTATTTTGGCTTATGGCATTATTTATTGAAAAGACAATTCTTTCTCTATTGAATTGTTTTTGTACCTTTGTCAAAAATCAATCCATCCTTAAGGGCTGGCCGAGTGGCTCAGTTGGTTAAGAGCTCACTCAAGAGTGCAAGCTCTGAGCAACAGGGCCGCCGGTTTGATTCCCAGCCCAAGCTGAGCTGCCAACAGGTGGCAGGAGGGTTCGGCTAAAAAAAAAGGATAAAAATCAGTCCACTCTTTGTGTGGGCCTACTTCTGGGTTCGTTCCATTGATCTTTGTGTACATTATTTCACAAATACCATTTTTTAGTATATCACATGCAATAGTTGTGACATATTTATACTAAAAATTATTTATTGTTTATCTTAAGTTTAAATTTAGCTGGGTATACAGTATTTTCTCTGGAAACCCAAAGAAGGAAGTATCCCAACCAGATCAACCTATAGTGAAGACCAGAGTTGACAAGTTCCAGTCTCATACACAGAGCTGTCTTATTTCTTTCAGGCTACTATAACAGAATACTGGGGTTTAGTTTTCAACATATGAATTTTGGGAGGACACAAATATTCAGGCTATAGCACTGACCAAACTATCAGTCAAGGTTGAAGGTGTATGGAAGCCATTTTCAAACATATGATCTTAAATTTATCTACTGAGAACTTTCTTTCAGTAATCTACAGGAGCATGTGCTCTGTTAAAATAAGAGACTAGGTTAAGAAGGAAGGCAACATGGGATCTGGAAAACATGGGATCCACCTCAAGAGAGGTGAAAGGAGGTCCCAGGACAATTGGGAAGGGAGATCTTTAGGTGGCTGCTGTGAACAATAACAAGGAATTAAACAATAAGCCTGGAGAGAGTTAGAAAGTCCTGGGAAAGACAGGTTACCTGAAGTGTTTAACCATATGAGGAGGAAATTTCCACATCTGGGATAACATTTGGAGATAATTTATTGTTTTGTATGTAGAAAATGAAGGGAGGAAAAATGAGAAAACTGCAAGAAACATTATAGGGAATAGTAGTTAACAGTACAGTCTCCTGAACCAGTCTCTTTCAAATCCTAGTTCTTCCGCATATACCTTATGTAGTTTCTTCAAATATAAAACAGAGATAATAATAGTACTTACCTCATGTTGTATTAAGCAATATATGTATATGTGTGTGTGTGTGTGTGTGTGTGTGTGTGTGTGTATGGAACTATCTAAGAACAGTGTCTATCACAACATAAGAGCTCAATCTATATTAGTAATTACA